ATTAAATGGTGGTGACTGTAGACTAATGTGAGTATTTTTTTTAAAATTAAATGTAGTCAATAAATATTAAATGGCACTGACAAATAAGGTACAACTAAGGTACATTTCCTGCAAAATTAAATGGTATTTAGCCTTTTAAATTAAACTGCTGCATGGAATCATTTTAAAATTCAGCTTATATTCTCCAACATAAAGGCCATTTCAGGAAAAGAAGCTACAGGTAGTCCTCAAATTATGACCACAATTGAGCTCAAATTTCTGTTGTTAAGTGAGATAGTTGTTAATTAACTTTTGTCCCATTTTACGACCTTCCTTGCCTCAGTTGTTAAGTGAATCACTGCTGTTAAGTTAGTAACTCGGTTATTAAGTGAATCGGGATTCCCCATTCACCTTCCTTGTCAGAAGGTCACAAAAGGAGATTCTACGACCATCGTAAATACGAGTCAGTTGCCAAGCATCTGAATTTTGATCAGGCGATCATGGATGTGCCACGGTCGTAACTGTGAAAAACGGTCATAGGTCCCATTTTTCAGTGCCGCTGCAACTTATGGCATATCTAGACAGCATACTAAAAAGCAGAGACATCACCCTGCCAACAAAAGTGCGTATAGTCAAGGCCATGGTTTTCCCAGTTACAAAAGTGCGTATAGTCAAGGCCATGGTTTTCCCAGTTGCAATGTATGGCTGTGAAAGTTGGACCATAAGAAAGGCTGAGCGCCAAAGAATTGAGGCCTTTGAATTATGGTGCTGGAGAAGACTCCTGCGAGTGCCCTGGACTGCAAGGCGATCAAACCGGTCAGTCCTGGAGGAGATCAACCCTGACTGCTCTTTATAAGGCCAGATGCTGAAGTTGAAACTCAAGTCCTTTGGCCACCTAATGAGAAGGAAGGACTCCCTGGAGAAGAGCCTAATGCTGGGAAAGATGGAGGGCAATAGAAGAAGGGGACGACAGAGAATGAGGTGGTTGGATGGAGTCACTGAAGCAGTAGGCGTGAGCTTAAATGGACTCCAGAAGATGGTAGAGGACAGGAAGGCCTGGAGGAACGTTGTCCATGGGGTCGCGAGGGGTCGGTCACAAGTTGAGAATTACCTGTAATTCAGAAGATTAAGCCTCCATTTAGAGGCTTACTAGTTGTTTACTTTTGCCAGAATTATTGATTTGAGCTGACAAAGTCAGCTAGTCCCTTTTAAAGTCTTGCCTTTTTAAGATTTCATAATTTGGGGACTTTTTAAAACAGAATACCACCGCTGATATAAATACCTTCCGATAGTATTTCCACCAAAATTGCACATTTGATGGACGTTATTCACATTTGTTTGACATATACTGCTGAGATTTCATTAATTTGGCATTCCACCCTCCCTTTCTCAGATTTGATCCAATCCTGCCTCCCCCCCAAAGTGCATAAGGATGCCAAACATTTATATTTCAGTAGAAACTCACTGGACCTTTGATATCTTTTGATTTTCTTCCTGCAGGATATTCGCCCTTTCGTTTTGACAGGCAATTTCAACACATTTCCTTCATGCCAAAGTACTGCTGACAAAGAAATTCGTAATTTTTTTTTAAAAAAAAATAACCCTGCGTGCTATAATAGGAGCATCTAAGATAATCTCTACTGTGTTTATAATTTCCTTTTGCTGACCAGAGCTGGATTTTCACTCTGGTCACTGAAGACAGAAATCAAACAATTTGTCTTTAATCCCTTTGATCATTTACCGGTATCTCAATTTTACTCGGGGATGTTTATTGCTGAGAATGGCTCCTTGCATAAATTACTGTCTTTCTTATTATGTAAAAACTGTCAGAAAGAACAGGGGGGAGGACCACAAAATGCATCCAGTCCCTTTTCTGAGTAAGATAGAATGCAGTATTGTAGCAAAAATAGCTGGTTTTTTTTCCCCTTGCAGGTTCATTTCCTCCAGCAATTGTTTTCTTTAAAAAAAAAAGTTAGCACTTTTTGTAAGCAAGAGATGTAGAAATACCCAGCCAATCCAAACACTTCCAGAACTGATTAATATTATTATTAGGCAGATGTGCTTATGCGAAGGTGAAGGAAGCTTGCAACCATTNCCTATGCCATTCCAGACAATTGGCTGTTTAGTCTCTTCTTAAAAACTTCCAGTGTTGGAGCACCCACAACTTCTGGAGGCAAGTTGTTCCACTGGTTAGTTGTCCTCGCTGTAAGAATTTTCTCCATAGTTTTAGGTTGCTTCTCTCCTTGATTGCTTCTTGTCTTGTCTTCTGGTGTTTTGGAAAATAGGTTGAGCCCATCTTCTTTGCGGCAGCCCCTCAAATATTGGAAGACTGCTATCCTGTCACCTCTAGTCCTTTTTTTTCATTAAACTAGACATACCCAATTCCAGCAACCGTTCTTCATATGTTTTAGCCTAAATTATGTTGGCTGCTCTTCTCTGCACTATTTCCAAAACCTAAACATCTTTTTCATAACGTGGTGATATTTTGATATCTTTAAAGCAGCCGTGTCTTTTACACACTGTTGCTTTTGAAGCTGCTTCTGGTGGTCTCTGTCCAAAAATTGTGGCTATACAGGGGTATACAGGTACACAAAGCTCGGAGTAACTTTCACAAAAGTGTGGGAGCCTAGGAGGGGATGTGGCTGCTTTCACAGCCAGCAAATCAAACAATTTTTAACTTAACCATGAGAAAAGATGTGTTCACGAGCACTCTCCTTGCATCGCAAAGCACTTCTCCCCAAGGACAGGCGCAGACCTAATAAAAATGCAACACATGCACACGCAGACACAAATAAAATAATTGCAATCACATAAATAACAGTTATATGAATCTTTTCAATGTTCTCATCTCATGTGAATATTAAACAAGGCCCCGCCCCTTTTCCGTAACACGGTGTTTTGTTGCCTTAAATGGTGGTATAACTACCCACGTCAGCTTGGTTTTTGGACCAAGGAATACAATGATATTAAGTCATCCAGTCCATTTCTATTTCCTGGAATCCCCTGTCTGGAACATGTGTTTGTAAAAGGAACTTATTAAATTATGATAGGATTTGTACAAATATCTTGGCAAACCTGTTTCCAATGTTACTGAAAATATTTTCTCTCTCTCTCTCTCTCTCTCTCTCTCTCACTCGTTTTCTCTCTTTCTCTCTCTTTCCCTCTCTCTCTCTCTCTCTCTCTCTCTCTCTCTCTCTCTCTCTCTCTCTCTCTCTCTCGTTCAAATATGTTTGAGGATTGTTCTCAAATCAGCAAAACTGCTCAGTTCCTGGCCAGTGTAACAGTGGATCTGATTACCTTCTCTTCCTTGATCACAAATGAGAATTGATTGATGGAAAACTGCCAGAACAGAGATGAGTTTCCAGAAGTGCCTATACTTTTTTTTAAAAAGGGTTTATTAGATGTTAATGAATCAAAAAGAGCATATTTTGAAAGCTAATTGCATCATGCTGGAACCAGATTTGCATTTACAGTTAGTTCTCGACTTACAACAATTGATTTAGTGACCAATCAAAGTTACAACGGCACTGAAAAAAGTGACTTATGACCGTTTTTCACACTTACAGCCATTGCAGCATCCCCAGGGTCACATGATCAAAATTCATACACCTGGCAACTGACTCATATTTATGACGGTTGCAGTGCCCTGGGGTCACGTGATCCCAATTGGCGACCTTCTGAGAAGCAAAATCAAAGGGGAAGACAGACTCACTTAACAACCGGGTTACTAGCTTAACAACTGGAGTGATTCACTTAACAGCTGTGGCAAGACAGGTCGTAAAATGGGGCAAAATTCACATAAGAACAGAACTTTTGGGCTCAATTGTAGTCATAAGAACTATCTGTATTTTTAGAAATCTGTAGAATTCATCAGTCTGGAAGCAGACCGCCCTGGGTGAATTCGGGAATTCTCTGCTCTCCTCTGGACCATAAAATTTAGGACTGAGGCAGTTTAGCCAATGTATGGAAGTGAATCTGCCAAACCACAAAGAGATTGAGGTATTCTGGGCATGGAAAGCTTTGAAAGACATCTGTATTATCCAGAACAGTATGTCCTGGATCAAGAAATTGGCAGATTCTTACTTAATATAATCCTTTGGCAACTGCATAGAAATCTTTGCCTTATTCCAATAATATTAGCAAAAGAGGTAGGCACCTTCCTCCAAAAATGCTTGTTTTCATTACCCGGTTTTAGTATTTTAGACGCTTGCAAATTTTGCTAGTCAGCCAAACTGTAGGTGAATACTGAGAGTCAATCTATATGATCCTTTCACTTCATCGTTGTCATGTCTGGCTCACTCACTCACGACCCAACCTGTTCTTCTGATATTTCTCCTCAATATTCCTTTTCCTTCCTGACTTTTTATTGGAGGAGGAGTGTAAGAGAAAAGCTAGCTGAGACAGGTGAAGGAGTCAAACGGGGACTCAGTTTAGAATCCCTATGTGGGCACAGGAGAGTGAAGTCTGACTCCCATGAATGCCGTTGAACTTTATCTAGTCTCACCCAGGTGCAAACCATGAGTCTAAGGTGATTAATTGCAGGCACATACTTCCAGACCCGCACTTGAAGAATTCAATTAGCTATTTTATTGCTGAAGCCTATATACAGAAGTCATCTCAGCCTGACAGTCAGTGAGGTCTCCTGTTGTAGCCAGGCAAAGAGTGGAGCAAGCTTACCTCCTTAGAAGGTATTTGAAAATTATTTTCAGTAAGTCTAGTTTAATCAGTTGTAACTGCTAAGATAGTCTCTCTTGCAGATCTCTTCAAGATGCATTCCTCTTTAACTCCATTTCCTTTAATTGTGTTTAACTCATTAACTCCATTTTGTTTCTTATTAAGGTACACCAATGACTTCCTACTCATTGCTGTAGTCTTGGCAAGCCAAGATTTAAATATGTTTTTTACACTGAAAAACTGGATGGGATGCAAACTAGAAACACACTTCCTTTGACTCAAAATTTGTATTCTTCTGTCATTCGTTCTCATATTGTGGTGGTGTTTTTTTTTTACTGTCCCTACAGCCTGAAAACCTCTTATACTACAGCCAGGATGAAGACTCTAAAATCATGATCAGTGATTTCGGATTGTCCAAAATGGAGGGGAAAGGGGATGTCATGTCCACTGCCTGTGGTACCCCTGGATACGTTGGTAAGTACCCCCAATTTTCCAAAAACGCAAGCCTCAGAAAAGCAGTCTGTCAGCCCCATTTCAGAAAGACAAATCTATGCATCCCATGAGGTAAACTATACCTCACGAAAGCGTGGGCCTTTTAATAAAATGTGTTAGGGGTACTCCTCGACTTAGGAAGTTTCTCCTTAATTCCAAAGGCTTCTCTCCTAGATTAGTTTCCATCCATCGTTTCTTGTCTTGCCTTCTAATGCTTTGGAGAATAGGTTAATTCCCTCTTCTTTGTGGCAGCCCCTCAAATACTGGAATACTGCTATCATGTCACCAACAAATCCTTTTATACCCAATTCCTGTAACCTCTGGTCCCCTAATCATTTCGTCAACAAATCCAGCATTTTCATTCAGTCTTGCAAAAGCTAAAGCTGAGTATACATAGCTGAACACAGTCATCTGATTTAGACTGCTCACTTTCCTCTTCTTCCCCCTTTGACTCCAGCATTTACATTTAGATGAGCTTTTAAAAAGGTTGGAAACCATATTTTTCATTGTTATGCTGTACACCGAGGGAGCTGCCAGAGAAAAATGCTTAATAAGCTACTTTAGCGAACAACAACAACAAAAAAGAAGCTGAGAAATTGAGGATGCCGATTTCTTTACTTAGAATAATGCTTTATGAAGGATAAACAAAACGTTTTACCAGCTGCCCTTAAAATCCAGATAACAGAATAACAGAAAGAGGTGGACGGGACCTTGGAGGTCATCTAGTCCAACCCCTTGCTCAGGCAGGAAACCCTATACCAGTGGTGGCGAACTTATGGCATGGGTGCCAGAGGTGACACTCAGAGCCCTCTCTGTGGGCACGCGCCCCATCGCCCCAGTCCTAGGCCTTCAGCTGGGTTTTATAAAACCTTTTCGCTTTAGGCCTCCGCTGCCCTGTGCAAAAAAAAAAAA